CAGTTGTTTTGGCTGGGCGGGGGGGGAACAGAGAAGAAAAACTTCTCTTTTTTTTTTTTTTTTTTTTAAATAATGGACAACACATAGTGGAAGATCAAAAGTCCCCTACTCTCACCCTTTCACCTTAACAGAGGTTCTTGCTGTGTGGTTAGTTTGCATGCAGTACGATAACGTCTTTGCAGCTTCATCCCATAAGGACTGCACCTCATCTACTTGCCTCTTTTTCACAAGCCTGTTGATATAAAGCATTAATCATTCAAATAATAAAGATAAAATCCTGGCTGTTGCTAACTATCTGATTTCCTTTCTTTTTTCCTTTTTTTTTTCCTGTGCACATTTTCTTTAGCTTGAAATGGCGATTGAAAACCTACAAAAAAATGAAGGGATTACATCACACAAAAGCAGTTTGCTCAACAGCCATGTAAGTTGCAATCGGATTTTACAACCTCTTCCCTGCTTTGGTAGGAGCATTATATGTAGCCATTTGGTATACTCACTAGCATGAGCCACTCGGAGCAGCCTGAGATTCAGCTGTGCTGCCCAAAATGGTCCAGTCCCAAGAAACAAGAATTTGCAAAAACTGCCGAGACGCTAATGTTTGTTTGAGGTGTTCTGGATTCTGTTAACTGCCTCTACCGTGTATGTATTTCACTTGCCTTGCAGTGGAAACTGCTGGCAATTAAAAAAACACATTTGAGGAAGTTCTTTCCTTTCACTGGACCTGAAAGATGACTGGAAAATAACTCGCAATAGCTCGGAGTGAATCACGACAGATATCCCCTAGATATTGTGTACCAAAAGCCTACTCCTGTGTATGCTTTTGTTGCCTCTTTGTGGCACAGGAAGACCATTACTGTTACAATGCTGTGCTAAATCCATTTGCTAGACCTCTCTGTTCTCACTACGCCAACAGTTTCCCTGCTTTGTGTGAAGTTCCCACTATTCTACTGCGCTTACTCAGGGTCTTCTGCATCACGGTTTCTGGCTCCCATGCAGTAATGCTTAACAGTGAGCACATGCTTGTGTGAGATCTGAAGGGTCTAATTCAAGTCCTGTTGAAGAACTGCATTGACTTCACTGCTTTTTGGATTAGGCTGAAGCATGGTTCTGCTCTGATAAATCACAGTGCACAAATGGTACTTCTTCATTCTACTAGATTTCCTCTTGCTTGTATTTGGGGGCAGATCTGTTGTCATTCTTAGGTCCCGCAAAAGTATTTTTACCCCTTTTCACCCCTGGTGAAGTGGCCTGGGAGAATGATAGGAACTTTGAACCTGAGCTGATCCTGAACTGCAACCCAGGGTTCCTGCATGAGCTCGATTCCGATTTCATCTTCTAGGAGTTGAAAGTTCCTTTTTCTCGTTGGGAAAACAAGAAAATGCAGAATCAGGCTTGTAGCTCCCGTTCTGAGCATCCGTGTGCAGCCTTCATGTCCCAGGTTGTAGCTGTGCCCATGCACCTGGGCCATGCCCCTGAACACAGCCCACATTTGGCAAATTGCAATTCTTGCTCTGTAGATTTTTTTCTTGTTCATCACAGTGCATAAGCCAGAAATAAACCAGCAGGGTTTTCTAAATTCTAGGCTGGATTTTGGGACTGATGGTAAGAAAAGACACTTATAAATGGAAAGTAGTTGATATGGAATATGTGGCGTCCACACTGGTTGCAGTTTTAAGCAGGTTTTTACATTAACACTTTCTGCAAGTGGAACACATTGTGGGCAGGACTTAGGACCAGCCCCATTTCTTTTTTTGCACTGTAATGAACTTGGCACAGGCAGTAAGAAAACTTGCTATTTTTTTCAAGTATACTTGAATCACTGTGCTGCTAATTTATTGTTTTATAAGAAAGATCCAATATTACTTTTTCCAGTGTTTGTAAGTCATGAGTTGATGTCTCTGGAATTGGAAGTGATATAAGTAATTTGTAGGGGTTGTTTGAAGGGTTTGGTATCTTCTGAGCTTGGGGCTGCATTTTCAAGTTTTTCTCTGCAAACTGGAAGATTTGAAACTTATTTCCAATTTTAAAAAGATGAGATTTCCTTTTAATCCTGTGACCCCAGGAACTGGGACTTAAAGATATTAAAAATGTAGTCAAATAAGGAGAGCTGTCAGCCCTGAGCCTTGCCTAGGACTCTGGGAGTTTTCCAAAGTCCAGCAGTATCATAGTTAGACTCCACAGAGTGATCTAGGCAAACAGAAATTGGTGAAGCAGAAAGCACCTTAGTCCTGTTATGGCTGGTGACTGTTTGCAAGTTCATCACAATAAATCTGTGGTTTAAACATTTAAAAAAAAAAAAATCTGAGCCAGCGCCAGCGAACCTCAGTTACTTCTCTGCAAGATCACTGTGTCCTAAGCACATGGTCAGTAGCTCAAATAACTCTTGGGTTCTGTTTACTTTCATTTAACAGTTTCTTTCTTTAGTTGACTGCCCTGGAGGGGATTATTACATGAAGTGGAATGGGGTTTGCAGCAAGTGTAGGGAGAAACACTTCCAGCATGGGGGCTGAATGGGACTTTGCAACGTTTCCAGGCTACATACTGATGCGTCCTTGAGAAGGAAGAGCTTGAATCATGCCGTAACCCTTATCCCGGGTCCTTCCTCCACAGCTCCTTTATTTAACCGTCTTTCAACATACCCAAGCAACCGCCCCTTCATCGGTTGCTTCCAACTCTTCTCGATGCCCTCTAGAAAGGAGACTGCAGAGAAGGACTGAGTGGAGCTGGATGGCAATGGGTAGTGGCATGGTATTGAAGGAGGTTTGAAAAAAGCAGGGAAAGGGCGGAGGAAAGAAAGAGAAGACAGCAAAGGGATTTCATCCATCCGCAGGCTGCGCAGGATGCTATGCCAGGATGGAGTTTGAGCCAGACTGAGCCAGTGATTAGATCTTCCCCACCCTTGTCTTGCAAGTGAAGAACATAACGTCTCTCTTCTCAGGTCACTGTTTGTAGTTTGGCATCAGGCTTAAGTTCTGTTACAAACTCTAAAGCAAATAAATGACTTCATGAGCGTGTGCGTACACGTCAGCTCCCCAGCCATCCCTGCTGAGGACATCGCTCTGGGCACAACCAACATGCTGCCATGGGCAGCTCTGGGTCTGGGGGTGGTTTAGTTCCCTAGCATGTACTATGCTATGCGTGTTTTTTGTTATCTGGGATGCTTCAGTTCCCCTATCTTTACGTTACCAAAAAAAAAAAAAAAGGAGAGCGAGAGATATGGTTATTTATGATTATGTATCTCAAATGCTTGCATGAGTGAAACACAATATTGTCAGGCTTGCACATGAGAAGCAGAAAGTGAAACAGAAGGTGACAGTGATTTGTCAAGGCTCAAAGGAAGCCATGAGCTTGGCATAGGTGACAGAATTCAAAACAGAGCTAACAGTTCCATGTGTTGTTAGCATCGCAAGCAGAGGTGGTAACAAAATACAGTCTCTTGACTTGATGTACATCCCTCTGCTGACAAAAGCTAGGGTGATAATTACACTATTAATTGTGACTTAATTGCCTCTAGTCCTATGTGCAAAAATTACTAAGAGCATAGAAGGTTGCAGAAGCTTTTGCTAGGCGTTCTGTCCCTTGCTTCAAACTCTGTGTTTCAGAAATGTGTAAATTCCCAGAATAAGCTTTTGTTTGTTGTCATTCGCAACTATTTCATGTCAGATTTTTTAAAGAAGGAAAACTGAAGGTATCTGGATGGCGAGAGGATTTTTTACTAAAGCTGTTCATGCAAAATCCGTGTGAAAAGGAACCACCTTTGATAATTTTTAATTTAGCCTTAAAAACTCTCTGAGCAGTTATTCGAGTGTACTTGAAGTACCAAATATAGAAGCCAAGGCTAATATGAAAACCCCAGTGACACATGATGTTTCTAATTAAATTAGGCCAATTTATTTATGTTACTGAAAAAGCTCCGCTCACAAGCGTACTGCAGAATTGCTGGGTCAGAGGATCGTTCTTTGCCAATTACGAGCTTGCAGATGATGCAAAGAAATTTGAGAAAGAAGGCTACAATTTTCATACGTGAATGCCTAAGGTTGGGCACCTAAAAAGTAGCTGGATGCCTTAAGCTGCCTGCCTGCGGCCCTGCACCTCCTAGGTATTCACAGCATTCATAGGAGTTGGTGAAATAATTTTTTTCTTGCTATCTGAAAAAAAAAAAAAAAAAAAAAAAAAAAAAAAAAAAAAAAAAAAAAAAAAAAAAAAAAAAAAAAAAAAAAAAAAAAAAAAAAATCACAGGGCTTTTTTTCCTGTTGGTGAATGGCTCTTACGTGGGAAATAATGGGAACAGAGGGAGTTTTGCCACTACCTTTAATGGGGCCAAGATCTTGCCCCAAAACCTTGGGAACACTTAAAACGAGCCTGAACAAAGGAGTAGGAAAACGATTAGAAGAAGTAACTGTCCCTGGGCAGAAGAGGAATGTAATGACCTAGTGAAGGACGACTCTCCTGCTTGGTGGAGAGAGGCAGGCAAGGCCTGAAGCTTGCGCTTGCATACGATGGATGGCTTAGGGTTTAAAGTTAAGAGTGGCTGTTATACTGAGTAACTTCATTTTAAAAAACAAATAATAAATTACTTACTAGAGCTGGTGGGAACTTTTTTCAGAAATGACATTTGGCAAAACTGACATTTTTAGTGAAAATTCGTAGATTGTGATGAAACTTTAACTGAAAATATTGGCGGGGCTGAGTAGAGGAGTCCTGGTGAGAGGGAAACGTTTATGCCGCGGTGGCTGGAAAGCCCGCAGTCGGCACGCAAGGAGATGAGCCTAGCTCCAGTTCTAGCTCCCAACTGGACCAAGCAGGGACTTACAGATTTGCACCTCTTAGTCTCAGACAAGACACCTGAAATATGCACCACAAATGAGTGTACTTCTTAGTTTATTTGTCATGAAAGCATTTGTATGGGCTCTGTTTCAGTACCCAAAGAAAACCTCTGCAAACCTGGACCCTCAGGAAAAAAGTTTTTATCTTTTCCCAGACAGCCCTGTGTATCACTTTCTCCATCCTCAAAAAGCCATCCTTGAATCCAACTCGATCTAGTTTTTTGTTGAAGATCTTTAAATCACAACAAACAGTCGATAGAAATTAGGTTAAAGTAAAAATGAAATGGAAATGTTCCCCTGCAGTGCTTATAACACACACCAAGCGATGTACAGCTGCACAGTGATTTTACTGGGACTTGATCATAACATAAACAGAAATGAAACTGTAGAATATCTTCTCATTGCTCCAACCAAGTTAAAATCGGAAAGTAAACAGAATAAAGAATATAAATAGAAGGAATCTCTTAATGTTCTCATTTTAAGTGTCCAATGAGTTATTACTAATGCAGGAAGAGCAAAACACAGCTTTTGAAAATGATTTATACTCTGGCAGATTTCTTTTTTAAGCCCTTTTGTGTGTTCCGTAATAAAATTCTAATTCAATAGTGGGAGTTCATATTCTGAAACACTTGTAATGCTTGAAGGAGTATAAAAAGACACTTGCAGAAAAGGAATACTGGGAGATGAAGGAAATATTCTAGAAATATCTGGGATTAGACTAAAAATGTCCGGGACGAAATTTAAATGAGAGGGTTTTACCTATATCTGAATTTTTCATGAACTGGTAGTATGACGTTTTTCTTGGTTTATTTCTTTGTTTTTAAGGATTGGAATTAGAACAGGTTTAGAAGGTCAGAAATAACTGATCAGCATGCAGGCTGGTCTGTTGTGTCAAAAACACTGGGGTGCAATCTTGTTAGGGATAGCTTAACCAACAGGTCGAGCGGTAACCTCAGGGCTGCAAAATGACCTTCAGGGGATTCACGGCGATGTCTCCTCCTGCTGATAAAAGTGTGAAGGGCGACAGATCATCAGTAACCATAGCCTTTGAAGACTGTAGGGTTTGGAGTTAAAAAAAGTTCTTTATCTGAGAACACAGACCAAGCTGTATTCTACATGGTATGTGACTGGAAGAAGGTGGGAAGGTAACAAGCAGCTCCTTGAAAAGCAGGACAGAGGCAAACGACCAAGTGGTGGTGGTTCTTCCAGCCATGGTAGTCCCTGGTCTGCTGCAAAGCCCACCAGAACGGATGGAAACAGTCATATGAACTTTTGATTGCTTTAGATTAAAGCCAGCTAATGAAGTGAAGTCAAGCTTTAACTGTACAGCTTTGGATTCAGCTCCTTTTGTGTAGCAAAAGTTTAAATTTGGACACATGAGTGATAACCGCGAAGCATATGTTCATAGGTGCAGATAGCTTGTTCTGGGCTGAAAAGCGTTTGTACAAGAGCAAAATTGGATATGAAATACGTAAACTGAAAATAACTCAATTGAGTGACGTGTCCGAGTTGTCATTGAATATTTCAGGTTGGATTTTCAGTTACCGATACAAAACTCAAATAATATAGTGATGAGGTGGGACTCTAAAGTTTCACCAAGTGAAAAGAGCTGGATGTCGGAGTATTGGTGGGAAGGGTTTAAGCATAACCCAACTTGTACATGCATGTACATGGTTCAACCCCACTGATTTCAAGATTAAGTTTGTGCTTAGATACAATATGTGCTTGAATTGTTTGCTGCAAGGAGATAATGTGGCTAATACTTTGGCATCCACAACATGAGTCTGTTTTGCCATGAACGTGATGCAAGTGCAACCACCTTCGGTGTAACTGTGCCTCCTATGTGCTCACGTATAGACATCAGGATGTAGAGGGAAGTTGTGAAAACACTAATCCCAAATGTCCCTAATGACAACGAAAAGACTCTTAGCAAAGCTATTGCTTTTAATCCCTCTACATCTAATTCCTTCAAAGAATTCACTTAATAGAATACATATTTCTGTGATACTGAAATTGGCACTTAGCCAATTTAAGGACATCGGGTTTTTGTCTTTTTGCGTTTTAATTCCTGGGCTGCAGTTGTATGCCTGACCTGCCCTTTCAGACTAGCTGGGTATAAATAATTTATATCTAATTGCATACTTTAATCAACATAAATGTCAGGAGAAGTAAAGTTCAGACAATAAGTTTCGAAAAATACGTGGTACCTCTTCAGATTTTTAAAGTTGGTTTGGTAACTATTAATTTTCTTGGTCAGGGAACAGTTGCAAACATGGCAATCTTAAAGTTAAAAAAGACTTAGCAGTGCATTTTGGTTCCCCTGATATTTTTTCGTCCTTGAAGGTATCTTAGTATCTTTATTCTTGGAAAACGTGAGTCCTAACAGCTTTATTTTGGCTCTGCAGGAATTTTGTCCGAGTGCAGGATGGACAGTGAGATGGGAGGCAGAGCCTGCTTTATGCTGTTGCCAAATCTAACAGCACTTTTTTTTTTTGTTAGCTTTGGGCTGGGAGTCATTTCTTCTTTTTAAAACGCGACTGGCCTAAATATCGCTTATTTGAATTAACCATCCAGCATCTCTAGAACTCTTAACGTCAGATAGGTTCTCCTGACATTTAAGCGTTGACACTGTTTTATGTTGCCCGCTCCAGCCCTCTTTAGACTTTCACATGTATTTTATTCATTTATGTTTTCCATGCATAAAGCTCCAATGGTTGTTGGACAACTACGAGACAGCGGAAGGCGTTAGCCTTCCCAGGAGCTCTCTATATAACCATTACCTGCGGCACTGCCAGGAGCACAAACTGGATCCAGTGAACGCTGCTTCCTTCGGAAAACTGATCCGCTCGGTGTTCATGGGGCTGCGGACTCGCCGCCTGGGAACCAGGTTTGTATGAGACAGCTTGAGACAGAGGTGATGGGAGAAGCGTCTCATTTCCCTTTCCCTTCCCGTGGCTCCGAAGGAGCAGGGAAGGAGCGTTGCTCTGGGACAGCTATATTTTCGCATCTTGCCTTTACCCACTGCTCGGTGACTGCCTTGGAAAGCGGTGTACAGCTTTGGAGACGTTTGTGAAGCTTCCGAGAAGCTTCCTGTAAAAGGAGGTTATTAAAACCAAGGCACTAATTTCAGGGGCTGCACTTTGTTCTCGAGAAGGCTTTATGCTTTGCGGGAAGGAAAACTATTGCGCGGTTCTCACGTGGTCTATATTAAAAAAAAAAGAAAAAAGAAAATGTTCTTGTATCTTCTCTCATGGGTGCTGAAAATCTACCGAGCATAATTTAGTATGTTCAGGTTTTTATTTTAAGATCTGCAGAAACAGCCAAACCAAGCATTATCCTTTGGGGGAAAAAAACTTGCTATTCGAAGGCACGTAAGTAATTTCAGCATGTCATGAGGCAAAGCGCCTTTCTGAACATGAATCAGCAGTGCGAGAGGTTTGACAGGAAAGTTGATTTCGGACACGTTCTGGGTCCCTGGTGACAATACCTTGTCCAGTCACACTGTCGAATGTGATCTAAGCCCATTTGTTAAGCAGTCTAAGAATATTTTATTATCTGGGCTTCTCATTCTTTTATCATCTCAAAAAGATGAAGTCGCACATTGTCAGGATTGCCACTGTCAGCTGCAGAGCCTGAAAACTCGGTGCAGTTAAGTGGTTACCCGCTTGGGGTTTGGTCAAGTCATTCGGTTATGAACGAGAGCAGAACCGGTGTCCAAATCTGCGATTCAGACAAGCTGTGCACAAGGAGGCGACTTATTTCAGAAACTCCTAAACCATCCAGCTGAATCCTATGACGGGAACGTTTCTTTTAAAACCTCAAAGGCCCATATGTTGCAAGAAAAGTGAAGCTCAAGAACGGATACGTGACATAATTTCATCTGTGTCATCCTAGGAAAAATCCAAAATACATGCACAGCCTGTACAGCCGAGTTTGCATTTCATCCCAGCTTTTAATTTTAAAAAGTAGATAATGCGCTAGGGAAAGGGGGATTGCTCTGATTATATAACAATTTATAATAAAATTGAAGCTAGATATTTGGGCTTCTAGACAAGAACAAAACCAGATGTGTCCGGAGCATTCCACAGCTGGAATGTGCAAGTAAGAGTCACTGGGAGAGCAGGGGAGAGTTTGGATTTCTGTAGCCTGGTTAAAGTGTAAGCGCTCTGAAATCATTTCTTCTGAGGAAAGAAGTTCTTTAATCCTATTAAGGGAGGAAAAATGTTAAGTCCCACCAGCTGCCGTTGACTCCAATAATTTCTGTTTTGTGACTTCAAAGATCACTGGACTTGACAACAGAAATAGTCCGAAAGTGGAGTTCTGCTCTATGGCAACATTCTGGTGTTTCAGAATTTGTTTTCGCTGGAAGCTAGAGTGAAAAAATTGAATAAAAGATCCTTTAGTGGAAATTGCAGAATATTTTATTTAGTTCAGCTTTTGGTAATGTCACATGCCGTTGTCGTTCTTTAAGTAGTGAAATGTCTAACGGCATTTACTTTTCTTTGTAAAAATAAGGCAATTGATGTTCAGTGCTTAAACTTATAAATATATGGATTATATTCCTGAAATAATATATTTATATACCTATCTCCCGTAACATAAACGTTGGATGTTTACTAAATATTCAGCTTCTGTAAAATTCTGGGCCAAAAGGTCCGGGAGTCCATCACTAATCATTTTTGGCTGACTTTGAAAACTTTGTCATTAAGAAAAACACTTAAAATTGAAAATGTGCAGGCTTGGAAGGACACAATAGACCTCAATAAATATGGAAATAGCTATCCACCATTATCACCTAAATCAATGAATAGGTAAATACATGCCATTAGTATTTAATTTGCAGTCACTTAAAGTCAGGTAAGGCCTGGTTGTTGCAGCATACCTCATAGGGAGCATTCAACAGCGTATGTAAAACCCTTTGTTACAGAGACAAAGACTAAACAATTCCACAATTTCCCCTTTAAGAAAATCGGAAAAGAGATAATTCCTGCAACAAAGAAGGGAGGGTTAATTCTCAGACAAATATTCCTTTCTTAAATTTCTCCCGTGAAGTTTTCCTATGGGAGTCACCATAGGATTTAAGGTGCCTTCAGACTTGTCTATATGCTGCAAAGATACTGAAACAGCAAACTGCAATTGTAAACCACCCTGAGAAGAGCGCTCCGAAGGTGCTGCCGAGCTGCCGCTTGCTCCCTGGCCTCTTGTCTCCTCCACCCTTGAAGACTTAGCTTGAATTCGCAGCTTTGTTAGCTACAAATTGGCTAAATCCAAATTGGACCCACTATCCTCGTGCATCTGTGGCTGTGTAATTGTCCTTTTCAAAAGCACTCCCCAAAGCAGTCGCTCATGGATTGAAAAATCCTGGTTTAATGGGAAAACTTGAATAGGCACATCTATCTGTTGCAATGGAAAGACATTTTCCTAAACAGCATCACCGCAGCTTTCCTGACCGGCAACGGAGAAGGAATTCCAGCCTCTTTTGTTATTGCAAAAGACTTTCAGTTTTTATGAAAACTGAAAATGAGCGACTCCAAACACAAAGCTAGGTCAAAGCCTCTTGCCAGGGCTGTGTAGGTGCAGGCAGCACAGAGACATTTTTCTTATCCTGGTTGACTGTTCAGTGAGGCTTGTTTTATCCAATTCTAGGTAAAGATAGAAGTTTTTTTGTTAAATAAAACAAATCCTTAAACTCCAATCAAAGGGCAAAGTGTCCCTCGAGGTCTTTTTGTCCCTTTGTTCAGTAACACTTTGTATTGTAACGCTTGTCTCTCTCCAATTACCGTTGGTTAGCTGGGACAAACTTTGCCAGATTTTAAATGTGGATGTCACTTAACTTTGCGACAAGCGGTTTTCAGTTTTAGAGGGGAGGGTGACATTCATTAATCCAGCCATTCAAATGGCTCTTGGCAGCAAAGAACCGCGTGCTGTAAGAACTAATGTGTATTGTCAAAAGAAGCCTAAGAATAAATTGCAGGGCTGTGATGTTGCTTCCATTGACTAGCGGGCACTGAGCAATTTCAACACTGATGCTTCCAGGGGCAACTCCAAA